TACCAACTTAGAATTCGAAATTGAAAGCCTAAACAGATTCAGGAACCAAAATTGCTTAGTTCAATACACTAATTGGAATATTTAAAATCATATGGAAAATTTGATTCAGATCAAAATAATTAGAATAAATCAATTAGACTTGATTAGAATTAAATAAGCTCAAACTAGATTAATTAACCTTAACCTCACTTAATTAACTTAACTTAACCTACTTATATATATGACTTAATCATGTTTTGAGCTCATTTTCATCAAGAGTGTGGTTGAGAGTGTAGAGAGAAAGGGAGGCCAACTTTTAGAGAGAGAGAAAAAGAGAAATTGCAGAGATTGAGGAAGAATTAAGAAGATTTAGCTACTACACCTTCAATTCAAGCTCTAGGTAAGATTATTACCCATAATTCTTGTAAATAATCTATGTAGAAGTTAAGTTCATGAAGTTGTAGAATCAATTGCTTGTAATTGAGAGGAACATGTTAGAATCACTTGAATTCTTGTAGAATTGAGTTGAAATTGGACATGCATGCATAATTCTTCATCTTTAAGCTTGATTTTCAACAAATTCATACATGCATAGAGCTTAGACACATCAACTTGAAGAATTTTTCATGACTTTACACTCCTCATCTTATTTAATCATGTTTTGAAAGAAAAGAAGTTTAATTTATTACATGCATGGCAAAAACATTGAGTTTTGAGTCTTGTTTTGGAAAATTGAAAGAGAATTTGAGAATATGGTTTCATAATTTCCATGACTTCATGCTTTATGAAGAGTTTCTTCAAGTCCTTATAAGTCATGCAAGCTTTGAACATGAAAGGCACACTTTTGAACTTCAAATTGCAATCTGGAAAACCCAGAATTTATCTAGTTCGCTCGAGTGACGGATTCGTGGCTCGAGCGCACTTTGCATGCTTTCAGTATTTTTGCAGACATTTACAATTGGCTCGAGTGACAAAGTGATGGCTCGAGCCTACTTTGACACTATCTAATACTTTTGCAGTTAGGCCACACCGTTCAAGCGATCAAAGGTGCGTTCGAGCGAATACCCTGTTTTTAGCAAATTTTTTGCAAACACTCATATATGCATATTTGCATCCTCATACCCTTTTAGACATTCTTAAGCATTATTTAGACATCCTTAGCCATGGAATAAGTTAGAAACACACGTAAGAGAATTGAATTAAGATACAATATTTGCATTGTATGTGCGCTTCAATGTGTATCTTTGTTATGTGTTGTCTAGGTGGTCATCCGAGGTCCAACACCTGTGCTAGCCCACTGTGAGTAGTATCTTTATAAAGATATGTTTAAATGTATTTTGAATTACTTCAACAATGCTATTTTGAAATGCAATTTTGACTGAATGGATGATTGTCTCATTTGAAATGTAATTGTGGCATCCTTTAGTGAAGCCCTCGTCTAGAGGGAGGGATATGACCAAGGCCCTTCGTTATTTGTTTGATAAGGCCCTTGCTTGGGGAAAATAATACCAAGGTCCTTTGTTATTTGATTATAGAGATCTCTGATGTTGACCCAAGTGGTTCATTTATTTGACCTAGATGGTCCCTTTGTTAGACTCTTGTGATTCGTGTGTTAACCTCCAAGGTCCCTTTGATATATGCTTTCGAGCCCTTTGCTTTGCACTATTGGATGTACCACATATTAGTTACGATTTATGAACTTTTATATGACAAGCACTTAATTATGATTCATTCTGAAACTCATGAGATTTGGTTTGTATTATGCAAGATATCATTCATTTAATCTGTTTATACTGATATTACTCACTGGGTTTTAGCTCACCCATTTTCCCTATATATATATATATATAGATGAGTAGATGGAACATTGAGTCTGGAGCAACCTCGGGAGTCTACCTTTTTGTGAAGCCGCTATGGAATGCCTTCGTGATGGGACGTATTTCGATTCAAGTGGAGCCAAATTGTGTCAACCCTTTTGTTTTATGTTCTTTTGTTTTATGTTGTTTGGGGACTTATTTTGAATGGATAATATGTGTAAGAAGTTTAACTGGATGTGTTGTACCTACGTATGTATATAAGAATGGATGTATGAATTTTAAGTTTTAAATACTTGTGAAATTTGCATGTATACATCGCTCGATAGACATAGTTATGCTTTATTATTGCTTTCGCAAAGCCCTAATTATTGTTATTAGTTATTTGTTTTGTCTTTGAGGCCGGGTAATCTGGGATTACTGGCCGGTTATGACCTAAACCTTTAGGGGCAAGTTTGGGTCTTGACACCCCCACTTGGTTCTCGCTATGATGCCTGAAACAAGAAGCACTCTGGTTGAGAGTACCAAAATTAGTACTCTGACAAGTAAGTTAGTTTGAGTATGAGAAAAGGGTAATCTTTTCTTGTCATTGTCTTTGTCTTCCATTGCCCAAAATGGAGAGTCTTTGTATATAATTGTGGACCATATTTGGTTTAGAAGTAGATGTTAAAGAATATTTATTTACAATTTTTTTTTAAAAATTATATTCATAATATAAGCTATAGGGTTAATTACATTAATCACTCTTGAGATTTGAAAAAAATACAATAAACTCCATAATTTAAGTATAATTATATTGTGCTATCTTAGTATTTTAATTTATATAACAATTAATCCATTTTTTATTGATAATTTATTAGTAAAATTGTAAAATGATATTGTCATATGTTTTATATTAAAACATATATATTTCATTATTTATCTTTATGTATTCACACTATCAGTATTAGTTATAATCCATTTAACCTTATTAAAAGAGAGGTCAATATATTTATATTAAAAATGTAAGATTTACAATATTTTTTTTCAAAATCTAAGGAGAGGTCAATATAATCACTTTCAAGCACAATATAGAGAGACAGAGAATTCTAGAGGGAGAGTAAGATTTTATGGATTTAACTTTATTAACAGAGAGATCAATATATTTATGTTAAAAATGTAAGATTTACAATATTTTTTTCAAAATCTAAGGAGAGATCAATATAATTTCCACTAAAAGTTTTAACACTAAATATCACCACAAAAAAAAAAAAAAAACACTAAAAATCTCAAATGTTTTATCTAACCTTTCTACTAAATGTCTCCTATATATGAATGTGAGGCTATATCTAAGTCCCAATGGATCCTACACCCTGAAACATAGTAAAAATGTTGGTAAACATTGGGGTGCCTAACATTACTTTATAAAAAAGAAGAAAAAAAAAAAAAAATCCTGAGTAGGCGCAATAAACTACCGAAGGCAGCCTCGTTGTCAAACCATTTGGTTCATCAATATCGGCGACTTGTTCTCCGGCGTGGTGAGGTTCTCTCTCTCGTTCTCTCTCGTTCTCTCGTTTCTCTCTCTCTCTCTCTCTCTCTCTCTAATATGGTCGGATTCGGACTGTGGCCAGGTCAACCCCGATTCTTGATGAAGCCACTTGTTAATTTTTGTTCTTGAAAGGGACAGAGTACGATTAGTCATAAATGTATACTTGCATACCTCTGTTTTATGTAGTGGTTGAACATTTTTCATTGAACTGATGGGTTTTGTACTTGTTTTGTTGTTAGATGTTAAACCCTTGTAATTGGGGAATGTGAAAGAATTATAATAGGGGAATGGGGATTGGGAATTATTTGTTTATACTGATATTACTCATTGGGTTTTAGCTCACCCATTTTCCCTATATATATATATATATATAGATGAGTAGATGGAACATTGAGTTTGGAGCAATCTCGGGAGTCTACCTTTTTGTGAAGCCGCTATGGAATGCCTTCATGATGGGACGTATTTCGATTCAAGTGGAGCCAAATTGTGTCAACCCTTTTGTTTTATGTTCTTTTGTTTTATGTTGTTTGGGGACTTATTTTGAATGGATAATATGTGTAAGAAGTTTAACTGGATGTGTTGTACCTACGTATGTATATAAGAATGGATGTATGAATTTTAAGTTTTAAATACTTGTGAAATTTGCATGTATACATCGCTCGATAGACATAGTTATGCTTTATTATTGCTTTCGCAAAGCCCTAATTACTGTTATTAGTTATTTGTTTTGTCTTTGAGGCCGGGTAATCTTGGATTACTGGCCGGTTATGACCTAAACCTTTAGGGGCGAGTTTGGGTCCTGACACCCCCACTTAGTTCTCGCTACGATGCCTGAAACAAGAAGCACTCTGGTTGAGAGCACTCTGGTTGAGAGTGTCAAAATTAGTACTCTGACAAGTAAGTTAGTTTGAGTATGAGAAAAGGTGTGTAATCTTTTCTTGTCATTGTCTTTGTCTTCCATTGCCCAAAATGGAGAGTCTTTGTATATAATTGTGGACCATATTTGGTTTAGAAGCAGATGTTAAAGAATATTTGTTTACAATTTTTTTTTTAAATAATTTTTTTAAATTATATTCATAATATAAGTTATAGGGTTAATTACATTAATCATTCTTGAGATTTGAGAAAAATACAATAAACTCCATAATTTTAGTATAATTATATTGTGCTATCTTAATATTTTAATTTATATAACAATTAATGCATTTTTTATTGATAATTTATTAGTAAAATTGTAAAATAATATTGTCATATTTTTTATATTAAAAAATATATATTTTATTATTTATCTTTTTGTATTCACACTATTAGTATTAGTTTTGATCCATTTAGCCTTATTAAAAGAGAGATCAATATATTTATGTTAAAAATGTAAGTTTTACAATATTTTTTTCAAAATCTAAGGAGAAATCAATATAATTTCCACTAAATGTTTTAACACTAAATATCACCCAAAAAAAAAAAAAAAAAGCCTCGTTGTCAAACCATTTGGTTCATCAATATCGGCGACTTGTTCTCCGGCGTGGTGAGGTTCTCTCTCTCGTTCTCTCTTGTTCTCTCGTTTCTCTCTCTCTCTCTCTCTCTCTCTAATAGGGTCGGATTCGGACTGTGGCCAGGTCAACCCCGATTCTTGATGAACCCACTTGTTAATTTTTGTTCTTGAAAGGGACAGAGTACGATTAGTCATATATGTATACTTGCATACCTCTGCTTTATGTAGTGGTTGAACATGTTTCATTGAATTGATGAGTTTTGTACTTGTTTTGTTGTTAGATGTTAAACCCTTGTAATTGGGGAATGTGAAAGAATTATAATAGGGGAATGGGGATTGGGAATTAATATCCGCCCGGTTGCCCCTGTTGCATTCCCTATTTGATTGTTGGGAGTGATTTAAAGTGAAATGAGCCCTAGTCTATATAACTTCCACTTATTTAATCTATGAAGTGTGCTAAGATTGTGTCATTAATCATTTTAAGAGCTATTTAATTTTCATTAGTACATTATGATTTTTGATCTTTATGAAATTGAAAGGGCTTACAGGTATATATAAGTTGCTAGGCGTCTCCTACCTCTCTACCAGCACTATGATTGCAGGTTGGAATTATTAATTTTTAATTGTCAAACCCTATGCAAGCTTATTAAAATCTTATATGTAAAGATTCGATAACATAACCTAGAATAGATTTCATGAACCACCATTAAGCCCTATGTTAAGGAAATTTGGAAATAACCAGTATATTCTTGCCTCTGAAACATTGGAAAGCATACAATAAACTGAATCAACAACCAATAACTTGGAGAGAAGACTTATGCTAGAAGTTGATTTCGATAGGTCTCAACTGGCTTTCATTTGTTTTAATTTGCTTTTACCTGAACCTCTTATGATTGCCTCAAATCATCTGTTCCGTGCTATTTCTCTAACTTCTTGTCTTTTGTGTGGCCCTCTTTTTCACTCTACATATATAGATTTATTTATATATTTATGTATCTATTGTGTTCAAATAGAATTTATTTGTCTTACTGCAGGGGAAGAGGCGTGATACCTATTGCTTTGGTAATCTTTCAAGGGAGACTCTTGGGGAGGTAAGTATTTATGTGTTACAAGCGTATATCTATTTACTACACAGCCATCATGAAATTATAAATCACCTTTTGATGATTTATATGTATGCAAAATAGTTTCTTTTAGTAATGGTCTCCAACCTAAAAGTTTTTGTTTTTCATTGAGCAGAATGCTAATGGCTACAAAATATGTTTTTATTTTTTAATTAACATATCCACGGTAATGAGGTTGACATTGAATAATGAAATTACTAGACTAGGAACTAGGCTATATTGTGTGCATCTGAAAATTGAGACAGTTTGGACATGTCTAGAGGTAGCTATGACAACTCTTGTGAGAAGAGATTTATGTTGGAAGTTGACAGGATTAAGAACAGGAAATATAAGTTTGGTGACACATAAGAATTAATTGGCCCTTAGTTGATGAAAGAAAAAGATTTTGAGAGGCTGTAGATATGAAGCAATATTTGCATTGGTAATGAATATTGATATTGTTTGACTTTTGTGGCATGCCTTGCATTTGAAAATTTAGCTATTTGACTTTATTATTACTAACATGTAGTCTTATAATGCAGTTAAATTTGATTGAATCTGAGATTGTTCTTTTTGTTTTTCTTGTCGTCGCTTCTTTCAATAGCTTTCAATTAGAAAAAATGAGAACGAATTTGGCCCATTTTCTACTTGGAACTTAACTGGAACATATAGAGGTTTGTACGTTAGTTGTGAATCTGATTATCTTGTTCTTTTTTTTTTTTGATGCCCAGACCTACCCCACACCCGCTATTATGACTGATGTGGGCCAAAGCAAACTGGGAAAAGCTGGCGGGTCCACCTTAAAACCCTGGCTTCCACTTGAATGTAATGGGGATTCAAACCTTGGTAGCAAGGAGAGGAGCAATCTCCTTTACCACTAGGGCGGCCATTGCGGTGGTCTGATTATCTTGTTATTCTAGTTGATTGGGAAAAAGTTTTTCTAATAGCTTTAAATTGCTTATTTCATTTCCCCCTTCTTTAATTGCATTATATGTTTTGTCTTAGGGGCATATGAGTAAAATATTTTTGAAAATTTTCTTATTTGCTGCTTATGTATACGTGATGTCCATTGATAATGATCTTCTTGAGTTAGGTGATTTGATTTAAGGTTTGTAGTTACCAGTCAGAAATGGCTTGTTTTATTGATATTATGGTAATTGTGCGAACACACATTGTCAATTCATTGATATATTCAATTGTTGACTCACATAATATTTATAGAATAGGTAATTATAAAACTTTCTACATTAAATTGCAATTGCAATTGCAACTGCAACTGCAACTGCAACTGCAACTGCAACTGTTAAAGGGCAAGAGTTGTTTTATGAGAATGCATACTAGGTTTTGGAAGTTCACTTTCTTTGTTGGATCAATCTTGAGTAGTTCCAGAATTTGGAGGTCACTCCAAAGTTTATTCATCCACATGTTTTCTAATAAAACGGATCATTTTAACATGATGCTTGAAACGAGAGGAAAACTATTAATATTATTGATCTGGCAGTGTAGAGTCAAGTCATCTAACCAAACCAAATCAAACCAAGCCTTAAGTCCCATCAAATGGAGTCGGCTACATGAATCATTCTTCTCCACGCGGTCTTATGGAAAAAAAAAAGTTTGAAAGCTCTATATGAAGTTGGGTGGTGAGGAAAAATTATAGGAAAATGATAAGAAAATCAAAATCCACACATTTAATGTAAAAAAGACTATAATGTCATGCCCTCTCAAATACATTTGCTATCATTATCTCATATTTGTTTGTTCAAGCAAAACAATCAACATATCGTTGCTGCTAATATTTTGTTTTGGGTTACTGCTACTTTGATTGGGGATGGTTGTTTTTATCATGATTCTGGATTTGGGTATTGTGGATTGTTGCTTGTTTAGGATTGCGTTATTATAACAGTCTTCTTTGGCAATAATTATCTGGGGGATTTACGTGTAGTTCCTAATAGGTGTGCTTATTATCCAATAGGTCTTGTGACAACTAATGACGTTTTTCATCAAATACTATTAAAAAGTATCATTAATTGTTAATTTTCAGCGCCAGTTTGAAAATTGTCACAAAAATGTCCCTAATTATAAGGTTTAGCAATTGTTTAAAAAAATTGTCACCAGAAAATGTCACTAATTTTCAATTTTCAGAGACAGTTTGAAAAATTTGGCACAGAAAAACGTTATTAATTGTAATTTTTGGGGACAATTTGTAAAAATTGTGACAAAAAAAAATCGCTAATTGTCAAATTTTAGCGACATGCAAAAAATATCACAAAAAATTATTTTTAACGACGATTTTATTAAGACTTATTTTCAATAGGATTTGATGGGAATTAACCTATTGGTAGTTTACCCTAATTATTTTTAACCCAAATTATGATGGCCCTTTTCTATTATGTCTTGTGCTTTGTTTATCCCAAATTACAGTAATAGTTTGCCTCTTCTGTGTCACAAACCATTATATGGATTTTTGTTTCTTTCCAACAGAATATGGCGATATTAAACCTGATAATCTCTTGGTCACTGCTGCTGGTACAGTGAAGATTGGGGACTTCAGTGTCAACCAGGTTTTTAAGGTATTGATATGCTTTAACCCTGATTTGATTACAATAATTAGATGTATGCGTATGTTTTTTTCAAGTAATTATATGCAGGAAATTTGACTGCTGTTTTCTTTTTTCTCTCTTTGTTCTTCCTCTTTGCCCCTGTAGGATATTCCTCTTTATTAGCTTTTATTGATTATGATTTTTTTTTTGAAATAACAATTATGGTTAAAAGCACATGCACTTAATTGAACTCAGCTCTAATCAGCTTAGTTACAATCTCACTTGAGATTGGCTTGTCAGATAGATGATCATGAGCCATGCCTGATCATATTTTGCATAGCTTGGTTTGTAAATCTAGGGGCAAACTTGGCTTTAATAAGCTAATAAGCACTCTAGGTATTTATCCTTGTTATACCTTGTTGATTTAATTTTGATACTTACGAATTTTTAGTTTTGACATTATCTCTTGGAAATGAATCATAAATTTGATATGCCTGGTTTTCAATTATTGTCTTGATCTATAGCTTAGTTTCAATAAAAAATTTGGAAGTTTCATTTACGATTCATCTGCGCTTGTAGACATACTGATTTAACTTGTTCATACTATTATTGTCTTGTCTTGATCTTTCCTTTTAACTTGTTTATGGAGGTTAGAGGCTCACATTGTGTGTTTTGTTTTTGATTGTATTCGTTACTTAAATAAACCACTATAGTTGAATAATGAATCTCTGATGCATTCCCACACCTCTTGAATCTGGACTGAAATATGTGGATAAGTTAATGAAATTCAACTTTTATGTATTTTTCTTTTATGATTTAAAATAATGTGCAAATGTTACTCTATAAATTCTCATGTTTTTCTTCTTCTTTTTTTTTGTGTGATGATGAGCCCAATCAAGAATTAGAGAGAATTTAGAGAGAAATATCTCAGTCAATCAATATTCAATGTCTAAAAGTTGGTTACATAGTAGTTATAACTTCTCTAGATATAGGCTCCATTTTTCCACCACTAACTATCACATGCCAAACACATGATATCCTACATCATACTCTCCCACTCGAAAGAACTTGTTCTCAAATGAAGACAAACAAACTATAACCAATGCACTAGAAAAAACACAAAACTAGAAAGTACAATACAAACAAATTTCACAAAGGAAACTAATCTACAATAAAAGGAAATTGTGTCGGTGCAAGAAGAACCCGGCAACAAAGGAAGTGACTAAGTAGTTGCAGGTCCTTATTCAAGATTACCCTAGCAAATATCCTTCCATAAAAACGAGTTATTGTTTATGCACATCAACCAAAGCCATGTTGAGGTGTGAATGGGCCACCCATATAGTGTGCCGTTTTGGAAGCAAGATGTCATCAAAATAATGCTTCTTGCATGGCCCAAGAATAAACTCATCTACACCAACACAAAGTGGAACAAATGGCTTTAAAGATAGCATAAGAGGCATTTCTTGGAAGCAAAATTCATTCGACAACCATGTAACTTCAATGTTATGACTCTCCACTATAATTTTCATAGAATATAGAATAGGGATAGAGGTTGGATTGAAACCACTTCCTTCATGGGAAGCAATATTTCATTCTCATGTACTTCATCCTCATGTACACTTTTACGCTCTACAAGGTCGTCTTCATCATCATAGTTGTTAAAAATTGCAACTCCTTCATACTCACTAGTATCAACTTCTTCATATTTACAAACGTCAACTTCCTCATAAGCCAATGCCTCGCTATCGCCATCAAAGATGGCAAAATCTTGATCATGGTCTGGTTCCTCGTCTTGATCAAAGATAGGAAAATTTCGTCACAAACGGAAAGTGCTTGACCACAATCTTGTTCTTTGCCACAAAGTATTCCAAGTGAATCTAATCCTGGCTATATTCCAGTGCCTATATTATCCAGACACCCCAATCATTTGGTAAACTATGCTTCAAAATAGTAGGAATTTTAACGTTCCTAACCTTTGTTTCAATGATACCAAAACAAAAAACCTATTATGGTAGATGATCTTCTTAATCTCTGATTGCTTTATAGGGCCATTGAGACCCCGCTAATATTTCAAGCACCTATATTCATTATCTTTTGGAGTTAGCTTACCGACCACCCCCAACTTTTCCAGGAGGCCTCTTCTTTGCCTCCTTACCCTGAACTAATCCTAAAGGTGTTACTGATCCAGATCCGTAGGAGAATGAATCTCTGCCCTCCAAATCCTGTGTCCAGTATTGTCCAGAACGGCGATGCTATCAGATGCAATCCCAGCCTCAGAACAATCAAGCATAGTCATGGTATCCCCCTGTTGCAGGAACTGGATGAACTTCAGTTGTACAACCCTTGCTTCCCATGAATCCTGAAGGAGAGGATTCATCAACTCCTCTATATAGGTAACCACGTGAATAGGAGTAGGATTAACCTCAGAAACTAATTCCTTGAGAATCATCATGTTAGGCCTGGCATCATCATTTACAACTTCTCAAGTAGTTAACTCTACTACTGAGCCTTCTAGCTTCTCTGTTGCTTCCAAGTTTCAGCACTGTCGCTAGGCCATATCTGAAGAATTTTCTGCTCTTCAGGGACAAGGTACTTGGGTCCCTTGTCCCCGCTGGAAAGAATGTTGTGGGATGTGATGAGATATCTCAGTCTAGCCAACTTGAGCACCCGCAGCAGCCTTACCTTAGGCTTCTAGCAAACTTGAGCAGCTGCAGCAGAATCACTTTAAGGCTTCTATGATTGTTCAGCTCACATCACGGTGGCTCAAGTCACAAGTCACAGCACAGTATGAATAGGAAATCAAGTAGCTACAGTTGTAAAGTAGTGGAGGCATTATTTATTATTTGATATTTTGTGTTCTGAAGTAGGACAACACCATATTATGCTACCAACACAAATTTCAAAATACACTTTTTCACATAATTTCCTCTTTCTATTGAATCACACATAGATTAAAGGACTCCAGTTATGCATAGTATAAATATAAATATGTTATGTACTTATAGTGATATTGACCCTTGCACATTTTGTAACGACTCACAAGATCTGAATGTGAAAACAACCAAAGAATATAGTTGTGTTTTTATAAACATGTTATTTCTTTTAATGTCTTATATTTTTACAAAACACTAACTGTCTCTCTATTTGTGTGAAGCATTTACTGATGATGTGTCGATTTGTACAGCCACTTTATGAGGTTAGCAAGTCTTCTTTTGTTTATATAATTATTTTTATTTTTTGTATCACATTTCTAATAGAATAGTTGCTCACAGTTTGAGACATAATAATAGTTAACTTTGTCACAATATTGGAACCAAAGTTCGGAAAAGCAAAAAACGTATCACAAAAATTAGTAATATGAATAGAAAAAGTGTTAATCTACTACGTCAGTAATCCCAAAAAGATCATATTACCAACCAAGCAAAAGTATACAAAATACACATTGCAAGGACACAAAATTAGTAAAAAGAAAATGATATGACAATACTTACACTTTGGTACTTTATATAACCATCACGGACAGCTAGGATAAATTGGGGGATTAAGGAGATGTTTGGACTAACTGACTAAATTACAAAATTGATAAAATTGATAGGATTTTGTCAATCCCTTATAAACTTAGACAAAATACAAAATACACAAAATACACATGACAAGGACACATAATAATAGATCCTTTTCTCTTTATTTTTAGTCTTCTTGGAGACACATTAAGACATCAAGTAGAGGTGATGTGAGAGCCACAAAAGGCGATAAATATTAAATTATTGGTCTAGTTAGTCTTTGATTCAATATTTAATTGTTATAAGCATATGTGATAGAATTTAAGGGCATGATGTGTCTTAGTTGTCTCATGAAGCCTATAAAAATGCCTAGAACTAATTAGGCTTTGAAGATGAATTAAAATTGAATGTTTGAGGAGATGGTTCCCAACTAGCGTTGTACATGTGAGTTGGTGGGAAAGATGATTCGTAATTCGCTTATTCACTATAAAGTGGCATATGGGAATGAATGTTGTAAGAAAAGCAAAAGAAAGTTACCTGATGTTGGTCTAATTACTCGATGTGCAAAGCAAACAATTAGATATAAAAGAAACATTTGTTTTCTTTTAAGAAGCTAATAGTTACTAAATATGTTATTGCATTAGAAACATTTGTTTGCTTATAATTTTTTTGAATTATCCGTATAATCTTTTGTGGATATTTACGACGTTTCATACCTTTTCCTCTAAAGGGTGGAGACTTAGGACTAGGTAGGCTATACCTAACTTTATTATTAGTTATTTTTTAGTTTTTAAAGTCGATAAATAAGTGAACTTAAAATTTGCCATTTATGTTACAGCAAATTGTTCTATTCAGATAAACAAAGTGCATAAGGAAACATAAAATAGTAAACTTTTATTATTGATTTTATTTTATTTTATTTTTTATTTGTAACTTGTTAGGATTGACATTGACATTGACATTTAATTTTTTAGATTTGGAGAAAAACAATTGATTTCACCGTTGAAGCTTCTGAAAAGCTGAAGCCAGTAGACTTTACCTGAGCAACCATGCAATACGGAGGGGTTACCAATTCATATCCCTGTAGCATTTTGAGTAGATGCTACAAGATGGAAACAATTAGATATTGCAACAAGTTGAACGAGCACGGTAATCTACACTTCGTGGGATTGTGATATTTTACTGTTGATGATGAGTTTTTTAAACTTGTCCATGAAGGTCCTTACACGAGCTTAAATGATTATTTTTTAAAGCATGATTTCTTCATCAAGGAGGGCAATGTGATTTTTTTATGTCAGTCCATTGCTTTAAAAGCTAACTAGGTAAATTATATCTATTTTTTAATATACAATTAAAAGGAAAAGTTTTTTTCCTTATAAAATTTAGCTATTAGTTATTTTAAATATTTATTGCGTTTTTTGTGTTTTTGCTTTGATAATATTTATTTGTAACTTGTAGGAATATTTAATGTGTACTATTTAGGCTTTTTTTTTTTTTTTTTTTTACTTTGAGATGTATATTTTTTTGTAGAAACAGTTAAAAATTCAGTGGGAGTTCGCTGTGCAGAAGTGATAGAAAGCCTCTTTCAAATGGCAAATGCTCCGCCAATCAATGAGTTGATTGATTTAAAAGGAAAGGGCACAATCAAAAAAATGGTAAGGACAAACTAAAAAATTTCTTTTCAAATAATATAAATCACACGATAATGCAAAATTATTCAATCTCATGTAGACATTCTAAGCTCAGACAAATCTATCACAACCTATGAGCTATATCAAGGACTGCATTTTTTTCACTGTTTTTTTAGTATATATATATTGTTTATTCTGAGAAGTATATCTAGGAGGACCAAGTCATTTATTAGATAAAAGTCACAAAAAATAGGTGGTCAACACCAATGATTAAGTTTTTTAAAATTAGTAGAATATTTTATTGGTCATTATTAGCAATTTATCAGCTACAAATGAGGGAGATGGACTCGACAAGTTTTTGGGAAATAAAATTTAGGAGAACCACATCAAGAGTGTCTAGAGAACCTTGAATGGAGGTAAGTTGTTTGCTACGAATATGTTTAATGAGTATGGCAATGTTCCCTGTGGAACCTCCATCAATGCAGTATTTTGGCACATTGTTAGTTTTATGATCACCGCTTCAGTCTAAGTATTTGGGTATAGATAAATGTTGCAAGGATCTTTGTTCAAAAAACAAGTCCAGTTGATAAAAATTTAGTGGAGCATAGAAAGAAAGAAAAAAAGAAAAAGGAAAAGAGAATCTTGTGGCTCGGGCAGCAACCAAATTTAATGGAGCAATCAAGCACTCAACATCAATATCCTTGAAGATGAACATAAAAAATTAGTAACATGATTAAGCCAAACATAATTGACTTAAATGGGTTTTGGGACAAAATGGTGGACTATATATATTTTTTTTTGGAATTTTTTTTTTAATGTGTAGGAAAGATTTAAATGAGGTCTTTGTCCATCCATTTTTCTGGAACTCAGAGGAGCACGAATCTGTGTTGATGTCAGTGCATATGCACATGCAACGTCCTTAAGCATCGAAACTCCCTGACAAATCGATGAGAGAGCTAGATTTATTGGCTGATGAACTCAAAAATGAATGAGACCAACAAAAGAAACATTGGAAAGGTCCATGGACGGCAGCTTTTAGGGGCGGGTCCATCCATTTTTCTGGAACTCAGAGGAGCACGAATCTGTGTTGATGTCAGTGCATATGCACATGCAACGTCCTTAAGCATCGAAACTCCCTGACAAATCGATGAGAGAGCTAGATTTATTGGCTGATGAACTCAAAAATGAATGAGACCAGCAAAAGAAACATTGGAAAGGTCCATGGACGGCAGCTTTTAGGGGTGGGTTTATGATTCCAAAAAAATGGCAAACCGGCACGATGATTCTGAAACGATCATTCAATAAATGGCTGCCATGAAATTCCTGGTTAATCGAATGATTGTTTTAGAATCATCGTGTTGGTTTGCCCATTTTTTTGGAATCATAAACCCTCATTTGAAAGCCGCCGTCCATGAACCTTTCCAATGTTTCTTTTGCAGGTCCCATTCATTTTTGAGTTCATCGGCCAATAAATCTAACTCTCCCATCGATTTGTTACGGAGTTTTGATGCTTGAGGACGCTGTATGTGCATATGCACTAATATCAACACAGATTCGTGCTCCTCTGAGCTCCAGAAAAATGGATGGACAAACAACTCATTTAAATCTTTCCTGCACATTTAAAAAAAACATTCCAAAAAAATATATATATAACCCCATTTAAGTCAACTATGTTTGGCTTAATCATGTTACTAATTTCTTATGTTCATCTTCAAGGATATTGATGTTGAGTGCTTGGTTGCTTCATTAAATTTGGTTGCTGCCTTGCCATAAGATTCTCTTTTCCTTTTTCTTGTTTTCCTTCTTTCTATGCTCCACTAAATTTTTATCAACTGACCTTGTTTTTTGAACAAAGATGCTTGCAACATGTATCTATAACCAGATACTTAGATTGAAGCGGTGATCATAAAACTAACAATGTGCCAAAATACTGCATTGATGGAGGTTCCACAGGGAACATTGCCAGACTCATCAAACATATTCGCAGCAGACAACTTACCTCCATTCAAGGTTCTCTAGACACTCGATGTGGTTTTCCTAATTTTATTTTCCAAAAACTTGTTTAGTCCATCTTCCTCATTTGTAACTGATAAATTGCTAATAATGACCAATAAAATATTTTGCTAATTTTAAAAAACTTGGGGCTAGTTTGGCATGTACTAAATAAGTCAAAAAGTCACTATCTTATTTAAGTCACATCATCTTATTTAAATCACATCACCTCTGTAACACATCACATCAAACCCAACCCAAACCCACCAATAAGTCAAAAAGTGCACTTTTTTAGGACATCCCAAACCAACCCTTAATTATTGGTGTTGAGCACCTATTTTTTTGTGGCCTTTATCTAATAAATGACCTGGTCCTCTTAGATATACTTCTCGTAATTAACAATATATATATACTAAAAAAATGCAGTCCTTGATAGCTCATAGGTTGTGATAGATTTGTCTGAGCTTAGAATGTCTACATGCAAGGTTTTAAAAAGCGGCCGCAACCGTTACGTAACGGTTTTGGACGGAAGCAAATATTGGGTTCCTCAAGGTTTTAAAAAACGGCCGCAACCGTTACGTAAAACGTCGTTACGTAACGGTTGTGGTGGTTACCGCCACTCGTTACGGCCGCTTTTGTAGTGTGATTGAGATTCACAGGTGTGTCAGCCGTAGCGGCTACCGTAATGGTCGTAACAGTGCCGTAACAGCCGTAACGGCATGTTACGCACCGTTACGTAACGGTTTCAAACTGTTTCTTTCGAAAAAACACAAAAAAAAAAACTGAAAATGGGAGAAGAGGGATAGAGAGAAGAGGGAAGATAAAGAGAGAAAATGGAGGAGTAAGAGATAGAGAGAGAGAAGAGGGAAGATAAAGAGCATGTTATTGATTTGTTAAAACTGTAAGACCTATGTTATTCTATTCAGCTGCTATCACTAAACCATTTTATTTGTGTGTGTCTATCTATATATTGTTTGAAAATAATAATAACAATAAGGGGTTGTTTGGGATGACCTAAATAAGTGTACTTTTTGTCTTTTTACGAAAAGATGTTCAGAAAAGTAAAGAGGTGATGTGATTGAAAAAAGATAAAAAGATGGATTATTTTGTATATGCCAAACTTGGCCTAAGTGTGGTCATTTTCTATTTGACTTGGTTAAAATATATATATATATATTTAAGCTCTTATTTATTCTTTTACTTTTATCATTGTTTATCTTATATATAATAGTTAGTGATTGATTTTTTATATAATATAAAGTCATTAATTATTAAATAAAATGTAAAAAACTCAGTTTATAGTTATTTAAATATATGAAATATATTGCATCATGCTTAAAATTTATAAAAATTGATCAATATTTATTTTTAATCCAATAAATATGATCATGGAAAAAAAATATGCGTATCGGTAAGTTTTTTTTAAATTGTGCAAAAAATAAAAAAATTCACGGTTTCGATTACCGCAACCGTTATACTACGGCCTTTACACTCTGCAACCGCAACCGCGTCACCGCTACCGTTACAGTGACCGCAACCACTTTTCAGAACCTTGTCTACATGAGATTGAATAACTTTGCATTATCGTGTGATTTATATTATTTGAAAAGAAATTTTTTAGTTTGTCCTTACCACCATTTTTTTGATTGTTCCCTTTCCTTTTAAATCGGGCGGGGCATTTGCCATTTGAAAGAGGCTTTTTATTACTTCTGCACAACGAACTCCCACTGAATCTTTAACTGTTCCTACAAAAACAAAAACAAAAACAAAAAAAGGCCTAAATAGTACACATTAAATATTCCTACAAGTTACAAATAAATATTATCGAAGCAAAAACACAAAAAACGCAATAAATATTTAAATTAACTAATAGCTAAATTTCATAAGGAAAAAAACTTTTCCTTTTAATTGTATATTAAAAAATAGATATAGTTTACCTAGTTAGCTTTTGAAGCAATGGACTGATATAAAAAAATCTCATTGCCCTCCTTGATGAAGAAATTATCGAAGTGCTTTAAAAAATAATCATTTAAGCTCATGTAAGGACCTTCATGGACAAGTTTAAAAAACTCATCATCAACAGTAAAATATCTCAATCCCACGAAGTGTGGATTATCGAGCTCGTTCAACTTGTTTCATTATTTAACTGTTTCTATCTTGTAGCATCTACTCAAAATGTTACAGGGATATGAATTGGTAACCCCTCCGTATTGCATGGTTGCTTAGGTAAAGTCTACTGGCTTCAACGGTGAAATCATTTGTTTTTCTCCAAATCTAAACAATTAAATGTCAATGTCAATCCCAACAAGTTACAAATAAAAAATAAAATCAATAACAAAAGTTTAGTATTTTATGTTACCTTCTGCACTTTTTTTATCTAAATGCTATAAAATAAATGGCAGATTTTAAGTTCACTTATTTATCGACTTTAAAAACTAAAAAATAACTAATAATAAAGTTAGATATAACATACCTAGTTCTTAGTCTCCACCCTTTAAAAAAAAAAAAAAAAAAAACGTCGTAAATATCCACAAAAGATTATATAGATAATTCAAAAAAATTATAAGCAAACAAATGTTTCTAATACAGTAACATATTTAGTAACTATTATCTTCTTAAAAGAAAACAAATGTTTCTTTTATATTTAATTGTTTGCTTTGCACATCAAGTAATTAAACCAACATCAAGTACCTTTCTTTTGCTTTTCTTACAACATTCATTCCCATATGCCACTTTATAGTGAATAAGCAAATTACAAATGATCTTTCCCACCAATTCACATGTACAACGCTAGTCGGGAACCATCTTCTCAAATATTCAATTTTAATTCATCTTCAAAGCCTATTTAGTTCTAGGCAATTTTATAGATTTCATAAGACAACTAAGACACATTATGCCCTTAAATTCTGTCACATATGCTTATTAAAGTTCTAGTAAAGTGGAAACAATTAAATATTGAATCAACGACTAACTAGACCTATAATTTAATATTTGTCGTCTTTTGTGGGTTTCATATCATGCTGATGCCTTTTATGTCCTCAGAGACTATACCGCGTTCCTACGGTCTCACATCATGCCACCTCTGATTGAGGGCGTGGCTAGCGCTATCGGAGTTGTTGATGCCTAAGCCGCCGGTGATGATGCGCCCGCTGGTGCTGCTCTTGCTAGTGGTCTTGCACCTCCTGCTGGTGACACTGCTCTCCCTCTTGGACATCCGACGCTTCCCATATTGATCACATTTCAATGCCTGGATGGCCTTTTCGATGAGCTGCCGCTAGAGCCTCTCGGACGACGATTGCTTGTCCTCGCTCCAAAGACCTGACCGGTATACCCTTTTCCTTACTACTATTCATTTATTGCCCATTATTTCAATATCAGTGCTGATCTCTTTTGTCTGCAATACCCCGAGATGGGCTATACTGATCAGTGCCTGGAGCTCATTAACACACTGATGGTCATGGTGTGAAGTAGGGAGGCAACTCTGATCTCTGTCGGGGTTGAGGTAACCTTCTATTGCTTGCCTTATCTCCTATGTAGTTCTTTTGCTTCATACATTGCTTATTTCATATCACCTGTTCTGAAGTGAGGCAACCCACAATGGAAGCGGGTGATGAAGCTAAAATGTTAGCCACAAGTCGTCGAAAACTAAGAACCATGCTTGCAATCTCTGGTTTTTTTTTTTCCCCCCCCCTCTCTTGCTTGCTCTGTTTCCTTCTCCTTTCCTTGTATTTTGCTTAGGAATCGAGCACTAAAGCTTCAAATGTTTTTTCTTTTTTTGTTTTATGAAATTTTCTTTTGTTTTCAACACTGTAATCGGAAAGTGTAGATCCTCAATAAAAGAAATTTTCCATTCTAGACATCGTGGTGTGAATGACATGGCACACGAGCAGTAAAACATTTTATTTGTCAATTTGAAACTAAGAATTATTGATTTTCAAGAAGTTTTGGATTGGTCATTGAGCTTTCAACTGTCCACAATTCAAAATACAACTCGATAACAGAAAAACAAAGCATAAACAGCTTAAACATGCGAAAATACACTTGTTGGAACAGAAATGACTCAAAATAAGACCTTAACAAACTGTTGACCCTCTTCCTGTAGCTTTCGAATTTGGGCAGAGAATAACTTGATTGGTAGGCCAATTAATTAGTCGGCCAACTGATTTGGTTAATAGCCGGCCAAATTATGAGAAGGAGAAGTGGCCGGTTGGCAAAAAAGTTGGTCGACCGGCATAAAAATTGGCCGACCGCAGAAAAAGCTGGCCGGCCAGCTAGACAGGTAGCGTGACATAGTTGGAGACAACTATCATGCACTTCCAAGCCACCACCTTCTATAAAGAGTGATCCTCACATGCTGTAATGCCACAGAAGTTAGAAGATAAATATTTTGCTCGTGAAAATGGAGAAATCCCTCATTATGCTCAATGATTGGATGGCCACCCTAGACAGCGCGGATAAAGTGAATTTTGCCGAATTTGGCCTAAACGCACTTTTCTCCTTAAATCGTGGCTTGCTTCAACTTTTGTTTCTTTGTGCAGCTGCTCGTTGTTGGAATTCGGTCATTCATGTATTCCGCTTTGGGACACAAGAGTTATGTCCGACTATTGAAGAATTTCGAGCGCTAATGGAACTTTCTTGAGATGAGGAGATTTTGCCCCGATTAAATTTTGGCTATGCACAGGCCCTTTCTCAAATGTGTGGTCTGGAATTAAATGAAGCTCGGTCTCTAGCTTATGACGGTAAAGTGGACGTTTTTGCCTTAATTCGTTGATTTTCAAAAGTCGGCAATAGAAATGATCCTCTTTGGCATGGGCAGCGACAACGCTCTCTCTGTCTATGTCTTCTGGCACATTTCTTACTTGTTCTTGGTGGTCTTGAAGCTAGCATCAAATTGGTTGACATAACTCAACGCATTAGGGCAGGTTATAGTTGTATTAGCTTGACACTAGTTAAAACTTTGATGAGTTTGGATACATTCCATCAACAAGAAACCTTCCACTTTGCAGGAAGTCTGCTATTTCTGCAGGTACTGTGTTGGAATGTGTCCCACATAGCCTTGAATTGTCCCATCTATGCTGGTTATAAGTTTTCAGTTTCCCTCTCCTTAATATATGGGTTTTAAAGAGAAGTGTGGGCTGGGCTTTTCAATTTAGTGTTTTCCGCCATTTTCTCATTTTCTGGTGCTCACATCACTCTAGCACTCAACACGCTTTTTCACTTCTATCACCCTTTTGCTCACTTTTCTCTCAACATACTCCTCTCTTTTGGCGAGCTTTCCCTCAAAGGAAATATGGTACGACTGGATGCATCACAGGTCTGCGGCTGACATTGCTTGGCGATACCCCTGGCTTGACTTGCTCCAGATGACTTATAGCATGCTTCTTTGGCGAGGTGTGCTGGCTTAACCCCCGGTGTCTTTTCTTCCCATTCAGGTTCAGACGACAATTTGGACATGACCAAACTTGTCCTATTGGTGAAGTTAAGTACCCTGCTTCATTTCCATTTCGGGCTACATATCTCTCCCGGTACACACCTGCTTGGAGGATAAGAGAATTTTTTACTTCTGCTAGCATCTTCACTCATGCCCTACCTGATGAATATCTACTCTGGCTTGAGGAAGAGACTCACATTAGCGAAGACCTCCGACAATGTAAGGAAGAGACAGGAGACCCCCGGGAGTGCAAGCAAGAAACAGAAGACTTGACTCGACTGTGCCTCTAGTTCATTGCTTTGACTTGTTTCTATTTTCTTTTAAAAAAAAGGTTGTAATCAAAATGAGATATAGATTAGTGTGCTTATTCCATCCTCTGTTTTGAAACCATGTAATAAAAGTTGTGAATAATGAAAATTTTCCTTTTATGGTTCAATGAATGGTCTGAGTTTTGCAAAAACAAGATAATTTTCAAGGAAATCAATCAATTTCATTAAAATTCAGCACAAACTATTTTCGCGAATTGTCCTTACCTGACAAACATGAAATCAGTCCTTCGGTCCCTCAATCAGAGATGCATAATTTCAAATCAAATGATCCCATGTAGAAGGAACAAGATAATTGAATTGGCCGGAGATGAACCAATCAAACATGGACAAGAGTAAAGGGATGACTTATGATTACAGCCGAACTTCAAGATGAAGTTGCCTACGTATCCCAAAGATAGAAATCAGACCTTACGTAGTTCATGGTTAAGTTTCACTAGTGTATTAACACTCTCCTTTTACGCTCTAACTTTGGCCAAACCACCTTTCTAGGTTTTCGACCTAGCGAGCTCTCTTTTTCTATTTTTTTTTATTATTTCATTTTTTTATACTAACTTTTGTCTAGGTTGCCCTTCCGGGTTTTCAACCCAGCGAGCCTTTCAAGAGTATTACTTCTTCAATTTGTTCATGTTAATTGGTTGTGAAAACTCCAATCCATCCAAGTCCATTAGAATGACCGCTCTCCTTGACCTGATTGACTTAATAATGTAAGGACCTATCCAATTGGGTTTGAACTTACCCCTAGGATCTTGGATAGGGACTCGATTATTGTTCAACACTCAGTCTCATTCCCTCAAATTCCTAGATCTGACCTTCTTGTTGAATGTTCTGGCAATCTTGCATTGATACCCTTGGATGTGATATAACGCATTTAATCTCTGCTCATCAAACAACATTAATTCTTCAAATCGGTTCTGTTGCCAGTCAGCTTCGGCTATCTGATATTTTGACATAATTCTCAATGAGGGCACTTCTATCTCAATTGGGAAAATAACCTTCATTCTATATACCAAAGAGTAGGGGGTTGCCTCTGTAGACGTTCGGATGGATGTCTTGTATCCCCAAAGCGCAAAAGGTAGTTTGTCGGGCCAGTCTCTATAGGTCTCCACCGTCTTACGCAAAATGATTTTGATGTTCTTATTTGCAGCTTCAACAGCTCTATTGGTTTGTGGCCTTTATGTTGATGACTTATGAAGAGCTACACTATATTTCGTAAGTAAATCTGCCACTTATCCTTTGAAGTGAGAACCATTGTCTGAATCTATTTCGTCTGGCACCCCATATTTGCAGATGATGTTGTTTTGAATGAATTTGGCCACATGTGATGCTTTTAATACTGAATACGACTGAGCTTCAACCCACTAGGTAAAATAGTCAATGGCAACTAGGATGAATTCATGCCTGTTTGAACCCTTCGGAATGATTGCTCCGATAACATCTATGCCCCAAACTTAGAAAGTCCAAGGTAAGGTCATATTGTAGAGTTTTGATGGCGGGATGTTCATATGGTTGATATGAATCTGACGCTTGTGGTATCGCCGAACAAAACTAATACAATCACTTTCCATAGTTAGCCAATAGTATCATTGTCTAAGGATCTTTCTGGCCAACATTATACCATTCATGTGTGCCCCATATTCTCCCACATGGATAGTTTCCATGATGCGCTTTGCCTCTTCCTCTTCTACACACAACTTGTGCATTCTTAGATGCCCTCTCTTGTACAACTTATCTCTGTAGATGATAAGCTGAGCGGCCAGATGCTGTATCCCTCTTTTGTCCTTGGCATTTACCCCTTTCGAGGTACGTGTTGCTTTCCAAGAAGTTCCAAATATCAAAGTACTGTGGATTTTCATCTTGTACTTATTCTTCTATCGCGACTATCAACTCGTATGCCGGTTATATACCTTTGTTCTATAAGGATAGGACGCATCTTAACCCAAACTGGTATATCTATAATTGAGGCCAGGATTGCCAATGCATTAACAAATTTGTTGTTTTCTCTCACCAGGTGTGTAAATGTCAGTCTTTCAAACCTCGGGATCAACATGTCCAAGGTCTGATGATAGACTTTCATTTTCTCCTCTTTAACTTTCCAATCTCCATTGGCTTGATTGACAACCAGATTCGAATCCCTGATCACATCCAACCTTATTGTCCCTAGTTCTAGGGCTGTTTCCAATCCGGCGATACATGCTTCGTACACGGCTTGATTATTAGACACCTTGAATCGGAGTTTGAAGGCTAAAGGGATATGGAAATCATCTGGTGCTATGAGCAACACACCTATCCCGTAGCCAAATTGATTGGACGCTCCATCAAAGTACAACTTCCAAGTGTCCTCTTTAGATTGCATGACTTCTTCATCTGGGAACGAGTACTCCACATCTTCCTCTTCTTTAATTGGGTAATCTAGAAAAAATTCTACTACGGCCCTTCCTTTGACAGATTTAGGAGTGACATACTTGAGGTCAGATTTGGAAAGCAAAAGCAACCAACGAGCTAGCTTACCGGTAAGGGTTGGTTTCTCAAACAGATATTTGATAGGGTCTAATCTTGAAATCAGAATTACTGAGTGCGCTAACAAGTAGTGCCTCAACTTCTTAGTGGCTCAAACTAAGGCTAGACAAGCCTTTTTCAAGGGAGTGTAACAAGTCTCGTATTCCAGTATCTTCTTGCTCAAGTAGTAAATGGCCTTCTCCGCTTTCTGGTCTAATTATTGTGCAAGCATACACCCCATAGTTG